ATTTATTATAAAATAATTAATTATAATTAATATTTTATATATCTTATCATTGAAAAAGTAAATAGAAAAAATTTATTGTTATAGCACATATACAATACAAAATTGAGAAACAAATAACGAAATATACAAAAAGGAAAGTGATTAAGAATAATATTTTTATAATATTTTTATATAAGTTTATATGTCATTTAATATTTACTTTTTTATTTTATTAAGGCACAAAAAATTATATGTATTTATTTATTTATTTGATAATATAGTTATTTAGTGTATCAATTTAAAACTAATAAGTAGCAATTTAAAATTAAGGATTAGTAATTTCACTCGATTCCATAAAAAATAGTAATTGAATTATTAAATAATAACAATTATTAATTATTACATTAAATTATTAACTATTCATTTTAAACTATTATAGCAAATAATTCTATAAAAATATTAATAAAAAAGATTATCAACATATACATATCATCACCTGTGACAAAAAAAATAGCTTTTCGATACTAACCCATATAATTCAAAGGTTATATTGTACTTAGATTAATTTAAAATTAAGTTTTTATTAAATTTTATAGAAAAAATTTTTTAACACTTATTTTTTTTTTTCCAAATTCACCCCAAAATATAGTAGTAAGGATCGATTCACCCTAAACAAAAAATAAAGATAAATTTACTTATAAAGTTTTTAATTAGGACAAATCATTTCAAATTTAATGTGTAACGTCATTTAATATCAATAATTCGTTAATTTAACGTCATCTAACATCAACAATCCGTTAATGAATTAACCGATTGTTAATATTAAATAATATTATACGTTAAATTTAAGGTAATTTATTTAAATTAAAAATTTTATAAATAAATTTATCTTTTAATTCAAAGTTAAATTCATCTCTGTCACTGCCACTGTACATTAGCAGTGAATTTGGATATTTTACCATTTAAATTCAAAACATTTTATGGAAAGTTCAACTCTTCCTACTGGTGAAATAAAACATAGTGCAGACGTGGCAAAATGTAACTGACTAGGGGATACTATTGCAGGCAAGCGACAGGACGTAAACCCAAAGTGCTCCAGTTTGAAAACCCAAGACAAGCCCTCTCCCTCCATCTCTCCCTCCCTTTACTCTTCCTCTGGAGACCGCCCAGAACCAGAATTTCCCGTGAAAATCCACCTCCGTTACCAAAACCCTAGTTGATGGCGGTCGATCAGACTCAGTTTCAACTCGCCCAATTGGCCGTCATCCTGGGTTCCGATACGACCCACTTCGAAACCCTTATCTCTCACCTCATGTCCTCCGCCAATGAGCAGCGCTCCCAGGCGGAGTCCCTTTTTCACCTTGCCAAGCAGGCCCATCCAGACGCCCTATCTCTCGCCCTCTCCCGTGTCCTCTCCACCTCAACTCACCCCGAGCTCCGTGCCTTCTCTTCCATCCTCCTCCGCAAAATCCTCACCCCCTCCGGGGACTCCTTCCTTTTCCCCAACCTTACCGAGCAAACCCAGTTCACCATCAAATCTTATCTCCTCACGACTCTCCAATCCGAGTCCTCCAAACCAAACACCAAGAAATTATGCGATACTATATCCGAACTTGCTTCCGCCATCCTCCCATCAGGTGGCTGGCCGGAGCTATTGCCTTTCATGTTTCAGTGTGTGACCTCGGATCTCCCCAATTTGCAGGAACCTGCAATGCAAGTCTTTTCGAGATTGGCACAGAGTATTGGGGAAAATACTGAAATTCTAATTCCTTATCTGGGAACTCTTCATTCTGTTTTCTTGCAGTGTATGGGAAATTCCAGCAGTTCTGATGTGAGGATAGCAGCTTTGAGTGCTTCTATTAGTTTTGTTCAGTGTCTGTCAAGTTCAAGTGATCGTGATAAGTTCCAAGACTTGTTGCCACTGATGATGCAGACCCTCACAGAGGCACTGAATTCTGGGCAAGAAGCCACGGCTCAGGAGGCACTGGAGTTACTAATTGAATTGGCAGGGACAGAACCAAGATTCTTGAGGAGACAGATAGTGGATGTGGTGGGTTCAATGCTGCAAATTGCAGAGGCTGCTTCTTTGGAGGAAGGTACACGACATTTGGCAATTGAGTTTGTGATCACGTTGGCAGAAGCCAGGGAGAGGGCACCTGGGTTGATGAGGAAGTTGCCTCAGTTTATCAGTAAGCTGTTTTCTCTGTTGATGGATATGTTGTTGGATGTTGATGATGATCCTTCTTGGCACAGTGCTGAGAGTGGAGATGAAGACGCAGGGGAGACTAGCAATTATGGAGTTGGGCAAGAATGTTTGGATAGGTTGTCTATATCTGTAGGTGGAAACACTATCCTTCCGGTTGCTTCAGAGTTTTTTCAGGCTTTTTTGGCTGCTCCTGAATGGCAGAAGCGTTATGCTGCGCTAATTGCTCTTGCTCAAATTGCTGAGGGTTGCTCAAAGGTTTTGACGCTATATTCATCATCCTTAAAAATATATAATTGGAGCACTAGCATCATTTGTTAACAGGAGATGAACTGCTCAATATATGTTTTAGTCTGGTTTGGTTAGATGAGTTTGTCAATACTTTGTTTCTCCTTGATACGCAGGTCCTGATAAAAAATCTGGAGCAGGTAACATCCATGGTTTTGAACTCATTTCAAGATCCTCATCCTCGTGTACGCTGGGCAGCAATCAATGCAATTGGACAGTTGTCTACAGACTTAGGTCCAGAGTTGCAGATGCAATATCATCACAGGGTGTTACCTGCTTTGGCAGGAGCCATGGATGATATCCAAAATCCTCGAGTGCAGGTTTGTGGACCTCTAGTTTCTGATATGCATAGTAATGTTACTATTGGTTTATTTAACCTTTTTATTTTTCCTGTCATTCTTTCTGTTAATGAGCTGCATCATTATTGTCTGAAAGTTTTTTTCTTTTTCTTTTACTATATAAACAATAATAAGTCAGAAAACAAAATTCATGTACACAGTCTAAAAAATGTTACCTTGAAAGTTATTTTTACAATATTCTTGTCCTGATACTTGGAAAGGGGACATCCAAATGCTTTCAATATTCAGCTTTCTTAGAAATGTGAGCGTGTCTATATGTTGTGTGGTAAATGTTTGCATAAGGTCCATAGAGAGTGAAATGGTTATGATAATGGTTAGTGAGTTGCAAAATCCTTTGACAATATCGTAAATAGGGCTTATGATCAAGAAGGTTAGTTTTCTCATCCATTTGATTCTGTGTCATTGGTGGCATGACCATTTTGTTCAATTTTTATAATAACATAATTTTTAATGTTTTTGGCTCTTGGTTGATGCACAATCTTCTCAGAAAGAAAGTGTAAAATTGCTGTTTATTTCTTCATTTTTCTTTTATTTCATTTTTCTAGTTAGCTGTAAAAATGTTTTTGTATTTATCATTTCTTTTTTTTTTGTAACATAGGCCCATGCTGCTTCAGCAGTGCTTAATTTTAGTGAAAGTTGCACCCCAGAGAACTTAACACCATATCTTGATGGGATCGTGAGCAAACTCCTTGTACTCCTTCAGGTATATAAGCTTTTCATCATTAAATCTACGTCTACCATTTTTAATTATTTATCATGAAAAAAAATATACAGGGAAATAAAAACAGGGCACTAAGAAATACTTGTATGTTCTTTTCTAATGTGATAGTTCTATCAAAAAAATCTACTTTTCTTTTTAATTGATTTGAATTAACTAATGTCATGAGAGCATTTTCTTCTTGAAGAACCAGACCAAACTTGAAAAGTTTGGACTTCTATTGAAACATACAACCCACCTATGGAGTTAAATATTTTCAGAGAGTTAGGTTGTGTTGGGGATTGCTGTGAAGTGCTGTGGCTGTGGGCTTTTCAGTATTCTACCATGAGAAAAATTATGTTATTGTTTGATAATTGCTTTGAAAAGAGTCTTAGTCATCAATATGACCACAAAACTATGTAAATCATCAATTAAATTTAATTTAATCATAATAAATTAACACTCTTATGAGGTGTTGTGTGGAAAAGCGCTGTGGAAAAGCAACCCCAAATGCAACTTTAGTAGACTGAAAAAATTTTGAACCATTTATTACCTGTATGATTGGATCATATAAATGACTCATGAATCATAACCAAGTTATAGTATTATAACTCTTACACCAATTCTTGACCACTGTTTTCAAAATTCAAATAATTATTGTGACACTTTAAATTTGAAATGAACATTTAAATTTTAAAGTGAGTTGCTGAGAATTGACATAAGAGTTACACCAGTGGAACTTGATCATGACTAATCTAACAAAATAAAACATATTGAAAAGACTTAAAGAAAATAATATAACTTGAGATGCACTTTGCAGGTGGTGTGTATGAGAAGACATCTTGCATGGGAAGAATTGCCATGAATTTTTTTCAGTCCTTAGGCATAATCACTGATTTATTATCATATCTTTCCATTGTTTTGCATGCCTTAATACTCAAGAACTTGACTTAGAATGTAAAACAGCAATCAATAGGCATTTTTTATCTTGGCATGCATTAACCTGTGCCTATGTTTTGCCACAGAGGATTATATATGGGAAAGCTCTTCTATTTCAACTTTACTTCAATATGTCTTAAACCTTTTCTTTTTTGGTTTTCTTTTGCAGAATGGGAAGCAGATGGTGCAGGAAGGTGCCTTGACAGCTTTAGCATCAGTTGCTGATTCATCACAAGTAATCAGAATCTTTTAAATAATCCCCCCTTCTTTTTAGTTTAGAAGCCTTTGGTCTAGAAGCATTCTCTGACATGGAATCTGTAATATCAGGATCAATTCCAAAAATATTATGATGCTGTAATGCCATACCTGAAGGCAATTTTGGTGAATGCAAATGATACGTCTAATCGCATGCTTCGTGCCAAATCTATGGAGTGCATTAGTTTGGTTGGAATGGCAGTTGGGAAGGATAAATTCAGGGATGATGCTAAACAGGTAATCAATAATAATAAGTCTTTTTGGTTTGTGGTTTTGTGGTTGTGAATCTATTATGGCAATGCTTGTTATCGTGATCTTTGAGGAGTGAGTAATTTTGTTAACCATCAAAAAAGGGCAAACACTATAAACCTTAGTTTGAGAATTACAGGGCTCTTAAGCAGCTAATATGCTTAGGAATATTCCAAAAGTTCTACTTAGCACTTAGCAGCAGTACAAGTAAATTGCTAAAGAAAATAATAATACGCCACCCTAAGCAGTTTTTATTGTTGTTGATTTACTTCAATTTCTGCAGAGTTCTCTCATTTCTTTATGTTCTGTACATTTTCTGAACTGCATAATATGCAGCCCTTTGACATTGAAACATGTTCCAAGCATCATTGTTTTATCTTATCCATAAGTAAACTAACCAAGCAAACCAGGCAACTTTAATTAAAAAACTCTGAGCTGCCTTACCTTGGCATTGGAACTCTAATTTCCATTGTTGAGTCATTGACACATTTTATTAACCAAGTTTAAAGGTAGACTGTCATGTTCTTTTGCATAAATTAAAATGCACTAAATATCATCAGTGCTCTTAACTCTTTCAACCAACATTTTGGAATCAACAAAGAAAGCAAACCAGCAGCTTCTAATTTGATTACATTATGTGGCACTGTTCTGGTCTAGGTAGCTTGCCAGGTGGAATAAATTGATATTGTTGTTGATTCTAATGAAGTGAAATTTTCTTTTGGCTTTTCCTACCTCATATGGATATCCTGAAGAGAGGATCTATGGACTGTTCTGTTTTCATTTAATTCTTCAGCCGCATCTTATCTCATGGCCTAACCATTTCTTTGTTATTGCAAGGTTATGGAAGTCTTGATGTCATTGCAAGGATCTCAGATGGAGTCAGATGATCCAACAGCAAGCTACATGCAACAAGTATGTTAATAAATTGAATGAATGATGTGGTTACCTGCACAAGTATTTTGGACCTAGTTCATTGGTTTCTTAACATTTTGCTTGGTGTAAACCGTAATTTCGCAGGCTTGGGCAAGACTTTGCAAGTGCCTTGGGCGGGATTTTCTCCCTTATATGAGTGTTGTCATGCCCCCTTTGCTTCAGTCTGCTCAGCTTAAGCCTGATGTAACCATTACATCTCATGATTCTGATGCTGATCTTGATGATGATGATGATGAAAGGTTTGCCATCTGTTCTAGATTATTTTGAACTGTAAATTTCCTACTTTGTAGTATCTTGAGGGGGTTTTTTTGGTACATAATCAATTTCAGATTCCTTTTCAGTATGTCTTTGTGTTTTCTCTTTCTCCTCTTACTTCTAGAAATTTTATTTTGTGAAATATAATTGGAAGGATGTAGTAGGTGGTGAGTTTGTGTGTGCTTTATATAATCCATGTCTCACCTTGTAAACATCCTGTTCTTTTATTTTTTGAGCAAGAGTAACATGTACTTGAATTGGTTTTCTGGTTCTGTTTTTCTGGACTTATGGCATGCAAAATGGAGCCTCCCTTCATACATAATGGCCAAAAGTGAATGTTTTTTTACATTCTTTTGCAATCATGTCTCCTTCTGGTATCTGTTATTTCTATAAGTTTAATTTACAAAACAAACCATATCGTGTAAATGTTTCTTTATGAATATTCTCTTATCTTTAATAACCTATGTAGTTTTACCTTTTGATCTGTCCTAAAGGAACTTTATAGAAGATAGCTAGGATGATCTGGTGGTCTTAGCAAAATATTCCATTCTTGAAGAATGTTTGTGTATATATAATGTTTCTTTGCCAAAGATGCATCTTTTTGAGTTATTGAAGTTTACAATGTGTTTTTCGGTTTTTTGTTGTGCCATTGCAGCATTGAAACTATTACTCTTGGTGATAAAAGAATAGGGATCAAAACTAGTGTTTTGGAAGAAAAAGCTACAGCTTGCAACATGTTGTGCTGCTACGTTGATGAATTAAGGGAAGGATTCTTTCCATGGATTGATCAGGTTGGTTCTAATTTGCATTTTTGAATTTTCTATTCTCGCTTGCAGTGTGAGGCAAGATGACAAGTTACTGAATTGCTCAATTAATGCAGGTTGCTCCTATTTTAGTTCCCCTTCTAAAATTTTATTTCCATGAAGAAGTGAGGAGAGCAGCTGTTTCAGGTATTAGCTTTGCCCCTTCTTTTTTTTTTTTTTTTTTTTTACCCCTTAACTTCCTCCATATATGGTCCTTGTGGTTTTTAGCTTCACCAATATTCTTTGTGCTATCTAATTCCTTTTCTCCTCTTCAGCCATGCCTGAGCTCTTAAGTTCAGCTAAATTAGCCGTTGAGAATGGGCAATCTCAAGGTCGTAATGAATCATATGTAAAGCAATTGTCTGATTACATAATACCAGCTTTAGTGGAGGCATTGCGCAAGGTCATACTCTTTTTTTTTCTTTTTTTTTGGGTCTTCATTCTGCCTTTCAAGTTTTTTACATTTCTACCTTCAGTTCTTTTTCTGTTATTCATTTAGTTTTGTGAACAGTGTTTTTGCTTTTGTTGAGGCATTTAAAAGTACAATTTTGCATGCAGGAGCCTGAAGTGGAAATATGTTCAAGCATGTTAGATTCCTTGAATGAGTGCATACAGGTTTGTAACATTCATCTTTTAGGTTGGAATACATATTTATATGGGTCCTCATGTATTTAGGGAATGTGTTTATCATTTTTATTATGTCATTTTGAAAGTAGTCTTGATACGTCTTTAGTTATTGGGCCCACAACCAGAAGTTAATGTTGGGTGGTATTACTGAAATGAATTTGGGATTATGATATGATGACTAAAGAGGGTGTTTTTTTGTCTTATGTCTTTGTTTTTTAATTTTTCCTGCCTGTGGATTCTTTCTAGAGGTCTGTTATGGTGGTGAGATTAGGACTGCTTCAATATGCATATGTTCTAGTAAAATCATGAAATTTTAGTTTGACTAATGCTTAGAGGTTGAAAATTAAAATGCATAAGTAAGGCTTGACCCCCTATCTAGCCCTTAAACTTAATAGATTTTAAGGTTATTAGACCCCCACCTAAAAACTAAAGCGTATTCGGCCCTCAACAATACAATTTGGGAGAATTCCCCCTTATTTAACAGATTTGAAGTGCACACGATTACTTAGACATTATATCCATCTTAGTTAGTGACACATTAGCATCTCTATCCTACGTTGCATGCCACCGTGGTGTGACCTTTGATTTTGGTTTTGACTTTTTCTCTTTTTTCTTCTCTTTCTTTTTTTCCTTTTCGAAAAAAAAAAAAGGTATGACAGAGTAGGACTTGTATTACATTGAGGGAGAATTTTCTACTAATTGCCATAGTGGCATGCAACGTAGGAAGAGATGCTAATGTGTAATTGACTATGATGGAGATAATGTCTACCTAACTGGTGTGCACTTCAAATCCATTAAATAATGGGTAATTCCCTCAGCTTGTATTGTTGAGCGGCTAATACCCTTAAGTCTTTAGGTGGGGGGCTAATAACCTTAAAATCTATAAGGTAAAGGGCTAAATAGGGGGTTAAGCCTATACGTAATTCAAATATTTAATGGGATTTAATTGGATGTGTTGAATAGCCTAGTCTCTGTGCAATTGGTTTGTGCTTTTAATTTGTATGATATTAGTAGACAGTGTATGACAGTGTACCAGTGAAAAAATTTTGGGGAAAGAAAAATAAAAGGATGAAGAGAATGCATATCTGATCTGCTTCTCTGTTATGGAAGGTTAAAATTTTTGTTTGAAAATGCAATAACTAAATGGTAAGAGTACTCAACAATACAGACCAATTTCTATATTTTCAACATTGGTGGTACAGTGAGTAAATAATTCCGTTCTTGTGGTGTGTGGTGCATGAATTGCCTCTTTTTCTTTGGGATGTTAAAACATGTTTTTCCAACGTGCATCTTCTAATTGTTTTTTATCTTATAAGGATTAATGTATCACCTATTTCTTTCTTTTGGGATTTACAATTGTTTGCTGAATACTAGCGTATGCTACCAATCTTCTAACCTCTTAAGTTTTGGTATATTTTTCATGTTTCATCTCTTCATCTCTGCCATTTGTTTTGGGGATATTTGAGCATGTGCTGAGGCTGTCTCTCTCTCTCTCCCCCCTCTTAGATTTCTGGACAAATTCTTGATGAAAGCCAAGTTAGGTGTATTGTTGATCAGATTAAACATGTACTCGTGGATAGCTCTTACAGAAAACAAGAAAGAGCAGAGAGGGCTAAGGGGGAGGATTTTGATGCAGAAGAGGGAGAATTACTGAAGGAAGAAAACCAACTAGAAGAAGAAGTTTTTGATCAAGTATTTCTTTTCTTTAACATTTGATGGGTTTTGTTATCAATTGATGAGTTCCATTCAATACTATGATTGTAATGTTTATACCTGTTTGTTTGTTGTTTATTTCTTTTATTCTTGATTAAGGTTGGCGACTTGTTGGGGACCTTGATCAAAACGTTCAAGTCTTCCTTCTTGCCGTTCTTTGACGAGCTTTCGTCTTACTTAATACTTATGTTGGTGAGTTCTATGTTTGTGATATATTTTCTGTCTTCTGTTGTATGTGTGAATCTCTTGTCAAACCTTCTACTTCTAGTCCCTGGATTTTCTTTTCCTATTTTGCTGGCAGATTTACCCTTTTTTCTTCCAATGTGAATAATTAGTGGTGTACATTGCATGCAGCTAATAATGTACTCAAGATACAGAAGAACTTAGGAATTATTGGATAGTAAACTAATATCTTAATGAGCAGACAGTCTTTGAGAAGGGTTTGACCTTACTGACTAAAATGTATTGAGTGTGTAGGGGAAGGATAAAACTGCTGAGGAGAGGAGAATTGCCATATTTATATTTGATGATGTTGCAGAGCACTGTCAAGAAGCAGCTCTTAAGTAAGTATTTAGCTATTAGTTTATTTCGTCAAAATACTGAATTTCACAAAGGCCTTTATGTATTTATTCCAATTGTTGGTTGGCCAGGTACTATAATACTTTCCTTCCTTTCCTATTGGAAGCTTGCAATGATGAAAACTCAAATGTTCGGCAGGTTCGCACTCTTTATTATAAAAGTTTCTTGGTTCTTCTGTCTTAATCCAGACCACATTAAAAGTACATGGCAATCACATTTCAGGCAGCTCTTTATGGGGTCGGCTTGTGTGCAGAGTTTGGTGGAGCTATGTTCAAACCTCTTGTTCAAGGTTGCTTCCGGATTGTATAGCTGCCTCTGGTGAAATTTTTGTTTTATGTTCTTTAAATAAATGATTTAGGTTTATTTCTTTGTAGATGCCCTTTCCAGGCTGGATGCTGTAATAAGACATCCTAGTGCATTGCACTCAGACAATGTCATGGCATATGATAATGCTGTTTCAGCTCTTGGAAAAATATGCCAATTCCATCGGGATAGTATAGATGCAGCTCAGGTACTTGCAGATCTATTTTTATCTATTTGCTATATCTTTGGTCATCACTTGAGATATTGGAAGCCTGCTATTGGAGAATAAAGGCATTTGTATTGAGGTTGATGTTAAATCATATTTTTCTTTTGATTTGAATTAGGCTTTATATGTCTAGACAGCTACCTGAACTTTTACATACTCTAATCTGTAGCCAAGCAAGCTCTATCATAAAAGCTTGAATGCATGTTTAGATAAACTTGTTACTAAGCAAATACGTGTTTTATGTGATCTTGGTTATTGACTGGGCTTGGTGGGAGCATTCGAGACCCATACATGATAGTGATCTAGCACGTGTTTGGAGTATGGTAGTTGCTGTTCTACACATATCTTGTGTAAAAAGGAAAATAATGTCAGACATCTTGGTCCCATGTGCAATTTGTTTCACTAACTGATTTAACAAATTGATTCTTTTATAGATGCACTAGAACTGAGGCTATCCTACATAGTTATCAACTAGTTACAAGCCTTAGGTGATAGCTTGTTGGAGACTAATTCATCTTTTTTGAGACATTTGTATCTGACTTTCATCTGGTATTGAAGATAATTGCTATCATCAGTATATCCTGAACTATCAGATGGAAAATTTGAGTGCATCTTCTCTTTGCACTTCTGACCTGTTCCAACTGCAGGTTGTGCCTGCCTGGTTAAGTTGCTTGCCCATAAAGGATGATCTGATTGAAGCCAAGATTGTCCATGATCAACTATGTTTAATGGTGGAAAGGTGAGAATCTGATCCTCTTCAAAGATACTTGTCGAACGTTTTTGTTTGTTCTCTCTCACACTCACACACCTGTCATGATCATCGTTCCTTATTGTTTTTACAGGTCTGATCAGGGAGTTCTAGGGCCTAACCATCAGTATCTTCCCAAGATAGTTGCCATTTTTGCAGAGGTATCACCCTTACCTAATTTTGATTGTGTATTATACTATTTCTCATGGTTTCTGCATTTTTACTTTGATTTGTAATTATTCATGCAACAATTGACCCTCTAGGTTTTATGTGCGGGTAAAGATCTGGCAACCGAGCAAACAGCCAGTAGAATGGTTAATCTGTTAAAGCATCTTCAGCAATCACTACCACCTACTACCCTAGCATCAACCTGGTCATCCTTACAGCCGCAGCAACAGTTAGCTTTGCAATCCATTCTGTCATCTTAAACTCCACCTGACTTTTTAGCATGCAATTTTGCTTTCTCGGCAAAGCTGAAAACTCCATTATATTTTGATATCCTGCCTCCTGCCATTTTGGAGTGACCAGGTCATTCTTGTTTCATTTATGTGGCAGAAAACTGCCACATGTGGTGAGTGTGACATTTTAGTCATTCATTTTTCCCCATTATGTGTTGAATGGTGAATATAGGAAAGTTTTTGGTATAGAATGTGCAGATACTACAGTACTAGTTGAGTCTTCATCCATTCCTAAGTTTAAGTGCGACGTGATGAAAGGTAGTGTGAACATTTCAACATGATGCTCTATAATGGTCGAGTCAGTCAAGGCAAAAATTTGCATCAATTTTGGTGTGTACTTATACTTTCATATGAAAGTATTATGGTTATATACAGATTGATCTGGTGAAAACTCATGGATTATGATTTTGATTGTAGAAAATCTCCATGATGTTGCTCCAAATGTGTTATTTTAGCGTTGATTAGAAAAATGCTTGCACAAGCCAACCATTTTTTTTCCATAATAATAAAAAAAAGGTTTTGCTTAATCTAGTCTCCATGTTTCCTGTCTCATAATAATCATTGATTCATTCACTTTTTTATTTTTTATTTTTTATTTTTTGACGTGTGATGATTAGGAAATGAGCACTGAACTTTTTTTTTTTTTTTTAATTTTTTGTCATGGGACGGGTTCGAAACCCACTAAAGGAGAAAGATATGCACTTTTTCAATAGCACTAATCATTGGACCACAAGGGTCAAGTGTAGGAAATGAACACTGAACTTGTGGTAATACCATGTTTAAAAACATGTTTTTTTCAAATTAGTTGTACTTGGTTGATGGTAATTTTTCTTTTTCAAATTAATTTTTTTTTCAATTTTTAAAGTGGATAGACATATTTTTTCCTACTCTAATTGTATTATTATCCCCTAATTTTAATGTCACCTTATCACCAAAATCTTGTTCTTTTTTATTCAAGGTAATATAAGAAAAACATAAATTATTTAAAGAATTTTAATGTGGAAAATGTATAAAAATAATTATTATTCCAAGATAGAGTGAATAATTTTTAATGAAGTAAATATGTATTTATAAATAGTATACCACTTTTAATATGAACAATAATTTATATTTTTACTTAATATCAATAAGGTTATATCCCCGATTCAGTCCCTGAACTTTCATTTTTGGACTAAAAATACCTTCGAACTAAAAAAAGTACTAAAAAAATCCCTAAACTTCAATTTTTGGAACCATTTTAGTCCTTCCGTTGACGGAAGTGCCAGATGGCACGTTAAGTTGCCACGAAATCAAGCTTTTTTTTTTAATTAATGACATGAAAAAAACACATGTAAAAATGTATAAGTTGGTATTTTATCCTTAAAATTACACAAATATCCCTTATCTTCAATATTTAATATTTGCTAAAGTTACCAAAATACCCTCATCTTCAACCTCACTAATCCCTCACTTATCTCGATCTTCTTCAACCTCTCTTCAATTCATCATCTTTTTGTTTCATTTATCATCACCCATACCCTCTCTAAAATTCTAATCACAAACCTAAAAATTCATCATCTTCTTCCTCTTTCTTTTTCCTTCCCTCTCCTCCCCATCTTTCTCCTTTTTCAAATTGAATGCGGAACCCAGATCAACTCACGAGGAAAACCCAAATCTAGGTTCTCTTGTTCAATAAATTAAGGTGAAGGGAAAAGGAGGAAGAAGAGGGGAGGAGAGCAACAAAAAGAAGAGTGAAGCCCTCCTTGGGAAGCCATTAGATCTGGAGATGAAGGGGATAATGAGATCTGGAGATGAAGGGGTCCAAAGAGAGAAGGGTGAGTAGGGAAGAGGAGAAAGTTTAAAAAAAGAATTGTTGTTGCCGTCGCAGTTGAAGAAGGAGAAGAGAAGTCGACGGTGAATGAGGGTTAAGGATCTGACGTCTTGGAGTTGGATTGATTTGGCCCGGCATCACCTGCACAAGCCCTCGAATTAATTCTTGAGGCTTCGAGTCTGTTCTTTTGTCTTCTTTCATAGACGGAGTTGGGTCCATCACCGACGCCTCCGAGGCAGAGAAATTAGTCTTCTCCGTGCCGGTGGTGTTAGTATCTTCCCCGTTCACGTTGATACATACCCAGAAAAGATCAAACAAAAATAATCAAGACCCCATAAAGCATCTACAAGGAAAAACCCAAATTGGACAAGCTTTTCCCAGATTCTTTCTGCAGGAACCCTAATTTGTAATGATTTTTTTAAGAACAATGCAAGAAGAAGAGATAGTTGATTGTTTTTGAATCTTTATTCTCCAAAGATTGGAGTGGAGAGAAGCAGAATATAGAGATTAAAGACAGAAAAGTATGGCTATATTTTAAAAATTAAAAAATTAAAAATCAGAAAACAAAGAGAAAAATCTGGGAAAATTAAACAAAATCAACAATATGTAACTCACTTCATCATCAAATTATATTCCTTCATCAATCTAGGGCGAGAGAGTCTGGAAAAAGGAAAGAGAAAATTGTAGAAAGTTTCAGTTAACTCTGAACCGAAATCCTAAAAAATATAAAAATATTTTAGGTTGACCCCACTTAAAAGGAAATGAGAGAAGTAATAGATCTTTGACATGGACAATAAAAATGTTATTGTAATCGGATTATTTTCCATGTCATTAAATTTTTAAGATAAAAATTGATTTCGTGGCAACTTAACGTGCCATCTGGCACTTCCGTTGACCGAAGGACTAAAATGGTTCTAAAAATTGAAGTTTAGGGATTTTTTTAGTACTTTTTTTAGTTCGAGGGTATTTTTAGTTCAAAAATGAAAGTTCAGGGACTAAATCAGGGATATAACCTATCAATAAACATGTAATCTTATTTTATAATAAAATTTTAGCAGATTAGTTTTGTATCAAAATTCTCTTAGTAACAAGCTTTTTTTTTTTTTTTTTTTTGAAGTTCGATCAATTGAGATGATATCCTATCAAAACAGAAGATAAAGAGCCACATCAAATGTGACATCTTAATCATAAATTAATAAAGAAAGTTACGAACACCCCAACCCAAAACCAAAAATCTTGTCCAGTGGTGTATCCCAGAAAACAAAATTCTTGTCTGGTGACGTAACAATGGTGGAACAAAGCAAAGTAAGATGCTTGCCCTATGTGACCTTCCATCATCTATATAAAAATAGTAGAATGCTAGGAGCCTACGACACTCTATGTTCCGAGTGGATGCATTCTGCACTCGGTTCTTTTTTATTTTTTTAAATAAATATTACTTTGCACAAATCAGATTTGGAGTATTTTGCGTAGCACACTTTTTCTTTTTCTTGTTCAAGCCAAGCATGCTTAACATTGCTCTATAAAATAAACACCATGCTCTCAACTATGTGGTGATTTTGGCTTTATTTTTGAAGCCTTCAATTTTGTTTCTGAATCTTAGCATCTTGGGTTTTCCTAAAGGAACCTTTATATTCATCCAAGTGGCATCTTTTGGTGCCTTCAACAGCTCTTTGTTTTCTTATTAAAAAAACAAAAAAAAACAAAAAAAAACACACACACCTCCTTGTTGGACTTTGACTTGGGTATAAATACAACAACCCACAAAGGACAATCCAACCCACTTAATCCCCTTCCAAAAAGGAAATTATTTATTAGGGTTTTAGGAGTTCAAATTGTCTGGACAGTGTCGTTGTTCTCTACAATGTTTCCAACCATGATAGCTATTTTATCTGTAAATTTTAAGTATCCATATTATTTTGAAGTATTATTTAAGCTCGTGATGTTACTCAAAAAAGAATTTGAACAAGGGAAATGATTTTTATACAATTTTTTTCTTTTTTTTTTTGTACAATCTAACGTGTCATTAAAATAATAATTCTTTTAATTCAAATGAGACCCATAATATTAAATATATCCATTCATTTAATGACATATAAAAGTTGTATAAAAAGATAATATAAAAAAGTTATCCCTATAACACCACTCTTTGAACAAACATAGATTGAATTTTAACTTAGTGCTAAAATATGATTACCATGGGTCAAGTTTGTAATTAACAAATAAACAGTACCTCGAATAGGAAGGTACTATGTTTTTTCTTATTCTAAAACAAACAAAATATCAAAGTAATTAAGAATGATGAGATTTTTGTTGACATTAAGAAAGGAGGATTGCTTAAATTCTGACTCCTTATTCGATGTGAAACCAATATGGTTTAAATAATGGACAAAACTCACCACTATTCCAAAAATACCTAGCTGACTTGCTCAAATTGGGGTTTATGCACTATTTTAAAAATGACAAATT